CACCTCTTTTATGAATAGCCTCCCCTCTGCCTTTCTGTACAGAGGATCGACAGGAACAGGAAGAACGAGACTGGGGAGGGTGGCAAAATGCACAATCCATAAGACAGAAAACCGTACGTTGGTCGTCGTAAGACGGCCAGCACAGTACGTCGCAAGGACGAATCAACCAGAGCGGCAGTGCAAACCGCCTTGGCCTGGGGACAGCCCGCGGCCAAAATACCCCTTACTAAACGGCTAAGAGCCTTGTGCTGATTTGGGCCACTCCCTGCCGCCACCATTCTTCCTCCCTTGCTACCTACTGTCGACCTTTCGTACTTTCTTAACCTCTCCCTATCAATTGCCTTCGTTTGAACGATTCCTCGCGCATTCTTCTTTGTGGCTAAACAGAGTCCTCTTACGCAGATCACAACGCGCAACTGAGAGCGACCACATCCAGTGGTCCGACACGCTCCGAGGCGTCGCTTGTCTCGTCGGCAACCGAAGTCGACACTTCTTCCTCCAGTACACCCACAGGAAAGAAAGGCAAACAGAAAGTCTTCAATCGCCTTGGCCGGACCAGATCAATCCACGACGACAACAACACTCCGCATCCTCTTAACAGCAACACGAGCAATACCACGGCCTCCAGTGCCAACAGTCCGGGTTTCCAACGGGACCCAGGAACCGCCGCTCAAATGAGAGTGGTCGACCAGCCCGAGCGCGCACACCAACCTACTCCTTCCCTCAAGACGGCGCCTCCCGCCCAGCACGATCGCAGCTTCCGCGAAATGATGTCTTCCTCGCATCGGAACCACTCGGCCGATCGGGCGCTGGGTCGCGACGTGCCCAACAACCGGGACAACCACCATGGCCACCGTGGCGACCGCGGCGATCACTCTCGGGCGCAACCCTCCTCTCTTCGCGACAATGGCGGCTACACCTTTTTCAACGGCCTTAAGAATTCGTCGAGAAGCGCAGCAGACATGATCAGCAAGGGCCTGTTCGGCAAGAACGGACGCAGTGGAGGAGCACCAGAACCGCCCGTTGTCGACGACGAGCACTATGTGCTCAAGGTCATCAACCAGCCTCTGCGAGAGCAGACTCGCTTGACTCGGATTTCCAAGCGCCTGGAGGATTCGCGCGATAGAACCGAGTTCTGGATGCCTGCCTTCCCATGGCGCGCCATCGACTACCTGAACTACAAGGGCACGGACGTGGAGGGTCTGTACCGAGTGCCCGGCAGTGGTCCCCAGATCAAGAAGTGGCAGCGAAAGTTCGATGAAGGTACGTTGCTGGCGTTTCTCTCTGCACAGTTTGGTGAAACAAAAAAATTTATTTACATCAATGTGACGGCATGCTAACCTACGGAACAGAGTACGACGTCGACCTCTTTACGCAAGATGACCTGTACGATATCAATATCATTGGCTCCATGCTCAAAGCCTGGTTGCGTGAGCTTCCTGATGAGCTGTTCCCCAAGGAGGCGCAAGAGCGGATTGCCCGCGAATGCGCAGGCGCCGAAACCGTGCCTCAGATGCTCGTCGACGAGCTCTCGAACCTGCCACCCTTCAACTACTACCTGCTGTTCGCCATTACTTGTCATCTGAGTCTGCTACTGGCCCACTCCGACCGCAACAAGATGGACTTCCGAAATCTGTGTATTTGCTTCCAGCCGTGCATGAAGATTGATGCCTTCTCGTTCAAGTTCCTGGTGTGCGACTGGCGCGACTGCTGGAAGGGCTGTATCAACGAACCCCAGTACATTGAAGAAGAGTATCGGCTCTTTGACATGCCGCCTCCGCGGGGTATCGGCACCGTGAGCCATGACGACGAGGAGAACACGTTGGACGTTGAGATTGACAATGTCCAGCGGCCACCACCAGCTGTTGTCGCGGGTGGCGATGACCGGGCGCCTGACCGAGGCGGCTTAGACCGTCAGGTGTCGTCTTCGGACAGCGGTGCCCAGTATGGTAATGGCAACAGCAACGGCAACAGCAACAACAACCACAGCGCAGACAAGCCCCGCTCCAAGAAAAAAACGGCGACGGCCGAGACAGGCAGTGTAGCGTCGAACGAAACGCTGTCGACGACCCTCACGATTGAGAGCCAGCGGGTGACCACTCCACCAACACAGTCTGGTGATCTACGACCCCTTTCGCCTATCAAGCCGCTCTCGCCTCTGGGCTTCTAATCGTACTCCCATATCTCTTTATCAAGGTGGCAGAGGCCGCGTCTGGCGCGGGGCTTGTCGGAACGAAAGGAACGGTTAAACATGTTCCACGTCCTTCTTGGAGCCCTCCGAAGCCTGTAACCAAGACAAAAGGTTGCATTTACAGAATTTGTCCAATATCCTTCCATATCCCATATCTGTTCATGATATAACGTCCTTTACGAGCCATTCTTTCCTGTATTTCATGCGGCCTTTGTTTTCTCGAGTCTCTGTTTTTATTGCGTCGTCTGCGGCTTGTTTTTTGTTCTGTACGGGTCGTGCGTCTACTTTTGCCAAGTTGTTCTCTTCTCAAACTGTCGTTTTCGAATATTACCCCTTTTGTACTCTTTTGTCGTTTCGTTTTTGTCGTTTCATCGTCTTGTCGTTTCCCTGTGGCGGATTATATAAATCTTTTATGTCCATTCTGACACTTTCGGCCGGCTTAGGTACGTACTACTTTGCCTTTTGCTTTTCTCTCCTAGCGTCTGCTTCGTTTCTTTCCTGATGTATGGTTTTACTGGTCGTTTACTTTTTATTCTCGTTTTCTGTATACCCTCCTGGATCTCTTGGTCCTTGATATTTGCCGGATATATAAGAGCTCGTAATAGTCATTTTCATTTTCCAATAAAAAGCAAACGTCATTCTGTACTACCAATTGCCTGCATTATTGTTTCGCATAAACAAGTTCCAATATACTGGTCCTCGTTTACAATAAACTAAATACAACGAAAATAAAACAATTCGAACTTAAAAAAACACCACCCATGGTATTTTATTATTCCACAAGATACAAACTTTTCAAACAATATCGTAAACGCCATGCCAAAAAGTACATAAAAAATCCTCCAGCCTATATCCACACTTTTCTACCTCCGTGCATACCCTGGAGGGGGTGGCGGCATTCCGTTGCCTGCTGGTGGGAAGCCTAGCTGGCCCGGCGGTGGTACGACGGGCACATTGTTTGCGCCCGTGGAGAATCCGGGTGGCGGCATATTGCGGTAGCCACCCGGGCCTCCGGCAGGAGGGCCACCACCACCGACACCACCCGGTGGCGGCCGCGCAGGGAGGCCGTTGGGCGCCACGGGCAGACCCGGACCACCGCGACCACCACCGCCGCCTCCAACTCCACCAAAGTGTTGTGGCAGAGGACCACCGCGACCGCCGTAGCCACCGCCTCCCTGGCCGCCATACTGTTGCCGTGGGTATTGCTGTTGCTGTTGCTGCGGTTGTTGCTGTTGCTGTTGCCCCAGGTATGGCAGGTAGCCACCTCCTCCCGGTCCCCTTGACGGATAGTTGCCGCCACCGTTCACCTGCTGCTGCTGCTGTTGTGGTGGTGGTGGTGGTGGCGGCGCACCGCCGTTGACGCGATTCGGGTTGTTGTGGCTGTTGATGGGCAAGGGCGTGGCGTTGGCACTGGTCGCGGCGGACGCGGTAGGTCCTCCTCCTGCTGCTGCTCCTGGTGCAGCACCATTTGTTGCATTGGCGCCCGAGGCCGGGCGGTTCATCAAAAAGGCGGGCGGCAGCGGCTGGATCTCGGGCACGACGTTGTGCTTCTTGCCCTCGGCGGCCAGCTTGCGCTCGGCCTCGTCGCCGTGGCGCTCGCCCTTGCCGTCCTTCTTGTAGGCGTACTCGACGGAAATCTGCTTGCTCAGCAGGTACTGGCCGTGCATGGCGGCGCGGGCGGCGTCCGAGGCCTCGAAGCTGTCAAAGTTGACAAAGCCGTAGCCCTTGGACAGGTTGTTCTGGTCGCGGATGACGTTGGGCGCAGCCACGAGGCGGCCGAACTGGGCAAACGTATCGTACAGGACCTTTTCGTCGACCTGGGGATCCAGGTTGTTGACAAACAGCTCGGCGCCAATGTCGGTGGCGCGCTGGCGGTCGGCCGAGGCCTTGTTGACGCGGACGGGCTTGCCGAACAGGCGGATGCCGTTGAGGCAGCGGGAGGCATAGTCGGCGGACTCGGGGGTGTCGAACTCGACGAAGCCAAAGCCCTGGTGGTGGCGAGAGACGCGGTCCATGGGCATGTGGACGTTAACAACAGGGCCCATTTGCGTCATGATCTCCCACATGAGGGGCTCGACGAAGCGCTCGTCGAGGTTGCCGACGTAGACGGTGGCCTCCTTGTTCTGCTCCCAGTGACGGCCCGCCATCGTGAGCGAGAGCAGGTGGAGGGATATTGCGAGGTCGACAGTTCACGCTGCTCGCGATTCTAGGCTGGAAACGGGTCGTTGAAAAGATGGTATGTCACTAATGCTGCCGTAGATGGGCCGTTCGAGAGGATGGAAGAGTCGGCGTGGCGGATACGAAGGTCTGAAATGGCGGGGGGCAGAACATTCGTTACAAGAGGTGTGAGGTGTGCCTGTCCGGCGCATTTTGGAGACCTCTGGCCAACGACACAGAGCTTTGCGTAGAACGCAGGCCAAAGCTTGGAGCGATTGGCAAGGCTAGGAGCACGGAGCCCGGTAGCCGGACTAACGAATTTTCCGCGCTAAACAATAGCTGCTGATGGGGTGGACATAGCAGCGACAGGCGGTTCAGCCGGGTCTCCAGCACCCACCAAGCGCCACATCCTAGCACCTCCACGCCACGCGCCAGCGACTACCCGACAAAATTTCTTCGGCGCAGAATCGCCAAAGCAGTCAACCGCAGCAAACCGAACCCGGCAACACATCACGACTTGTGCCACGACTTGTGCCACGACAGCTCCATTCCGTACGTCGACAAACCCCATCAGTCAACGGATGCTTCGACGTCTACTTTCAGCAAGCGACTAACCGCTCATACAGCCTTGTCAACCCAGCTCACAGTAACCATGTTTTCCCTTTCAGAAGAGTCCAAGGTACGACAACACGACGACATGGCGGGATCGACGACATTCTACCCCGGTCTAGATGATGGGCTTGGGCAAAGAGACATGCTCTAACAGAACGACACATGTAGGAGCGGATCAGCCGCATCATTGACATCTCCCGCGTGGCCCTCCACTAGTATGTGCTCCCTTGCTTGCATCGCAGCGTTGGTTTTGACCATGGCTAATGTTTTGCTGTAGTGGCTACCTGCCCCTGGTTCTCTACCTTGGTATGTGACCGTATCGTATGGGATGGGCGACGACCAACGACAAGCAACAAGCAGGACTGGTGCTATTGCAACCCGAGCGAGCATTTTCTAACTTCTACGCAGGCTATACCCGCAGCGAGCCCCGGCCAGCCATAATCCGGTACGTCGACCATGGATTTTGTATTTTCGGAGACGACTCCTACTTGCTAACAAACACCCCGCGTCATAGCCTCCTGTCTCCCCTCTCGTAAAGTTCACTTGGCGACGACGATACGGCCAACGGCGTCAAGGCAAGCTCCTGGACATGTCTCGAGACCCTGTGCGAGCCGGCAATGGGCCACGGGTTCTTGTCAATGGCATGCGTGCAAGACACAGCACCTAAATCCAGAGCGATGCATGGACGAGCAAACACACAATGTTTATGAACCAAAAACTGAGACGAGAAAACTGGACATGCTCTTTCGTCGACGGACGTTTTTGACGATGTGCGAAAGGCTTCTTTGATGCCTGGTTTCCAGGAGGGAACCGACATCTGTACACTAGTTTGCGAAACGATGGAAAAGGAATATACCACTCAATAGATCCAAGCCCGTGTTTGTGTTTTGTTGCAGTTTGTTGTTGAAGTTTGTTATTCTGTCGTTGAGATGTGTGTGTGTGTTCTGATTAGTCATCCACATATCGACGGTCAAAGTGCGTCATAGTTTGGCAGTGGGGCCCGTTTTCGTTGAATTTGGCTCCACGACATTTCTAGTTTTTGGAAGCTTCCCCAATCCATGTCTTAATAATCTTATTTATCCCGACCTTTTCGACCGGCAGACATGAGCACGGTCCCGCCACAATTCCGACCCAACTTATGACCTCTGCCAGCGACGCACGTCATGCCGGTGCTGCCGGTCCATCGTCGGGCCCGTCGCCGGCTTTTGTCGAGGCGGTGGCTGGCCTGACGGCCGGATCTACGGCGACGCTGGTCGTGCACCCGCTGGACATTGTCAAGACACGAATGCAGAGTGAGTTGTCAAGGCCGGAGCCGAACGATGCCGTTGGAGTCTTGACGAAAGACTAACACAGAACTCCCTTTCCTTCCCCTCCCAGTTTACAGCAAAACGGATGCACACGGCACCGCTGCGGTACGCCCATCGACGGCCTCCGTCGTGCGCAGCCTGCTCGACGCGCCGCACCCGCTCGCCGCGCTCTACCGCGGCCTGGCGCCCAACCTGCTCGGCAACGGCGCCAGCTGGGCGGCCTTTTTCTTTTTCAAGTCGAGGATGGAGACGCTGCTTCGGGCCACCGCCGTCGCGCCCGGCCACGACTTGCGCGCGCCGCACTACTTTGTGGCCTCGGGCCTCGCGGGCGCCGGCGTCCAGATCCTGACCAACCCGCTGTGGGTGCTCAAGACACGCATGCTCTCATCCGACCGCCACGCCGCCGGCGCCTACCCGAGCATGTGGGTGGGTGCGCGGCGGGTCCTGGCGCACGAGGGCTGGCGCGGGTTTTACCGCGGGCTGGGCGTCAGCCTGATTGGCGTCTCCCACGGCGCCGTGCAGTTTGCCGTCTACGAGCCGCTGAAGCGGTTCGTGCGTGATGGCGCCCCAAAAGACGGGCCGTCCGCCGTCAAGGCCAGCAACGAGTCCACCCTCGTCGTGTCGTCCCTGGCCAAGCTCGTGGCCGGCGCCGTGACGTACCCGTACCAGGTGGTGCGCAGCCGGCTGCAAAACTACAACGCCGAAGCGCGCTTTGGGCGCGGCATTGTCGGCGTGTCGCGGCAGATTTGGCGCGAGGACGGCGCCCGCGGGTTCTACCGGGGTCTGGTCCCGAGCGTTGTGCGCGTGATGCCGGCGACGTGGGTGACGTTCTTGGTCTACGAGAATGTCAAGTACTACCTGCCGCGGTGGATGGCATAGGGCCGAGGAGCGCGGTTGGGCTTGGGAAAGCCCTAGCTTGATGCATTTCCTTGTAAAAACAGTTTTGATATAGACTTTGACCTCTTGGTCCAGCATTTAGAAGTTTAAAAGTATTCCCACCTCACGTTGGCCTTGCAATGTCAAGCAGAAAGTGCCAGTGGTTGAGAACGGCGGTGTAGAGAAACCGTGACGGTACTTTATCTGAGGGCTCCAGCATCAGAAAGTGGCTGTAGATGCACTTATTCACACGGCATTTGCAAGTTGCTCCAGAGCGAATGCCACCAGCGTCACAGATGGGATACGATGAGGTACGACGCGGACATGTATGTGTTCGTTTCAATTTTGTGCTTCTCACACTCATTTGAAGCTTCTGACAATTCATATCCACTGCTCTTAGTTGAGCGTCACGCGTTCAAGACGGTCTGTGGAATATTTTACTGATATTCGCATCATACACGGGCGATGCAGTTACCTCAGGGCGGCCTAGTGACCCTTTTCGTGCACGACATCGCAGCCCAATCTGTCCTCAAACGTCGCCGGTGAATAATGCTAGCAATATGGAACACCCATGTCCCTCTACTTCCAGACAATAAGCTGCATCCGTTTGTGTAGATGCCCCGACTTTTCATGGCTTTACTACTCACCTAAGCGCATCCATTATTACTCCATGGAGCCCGATCTTCGAAGCAAAGAACCACACTTCCAAAGACGCCAGAATGAGCACATGGGCAAAACGTTGTGTAACAGCAACTGGGTCAGCACTAAAAGAACAATCGTATTCGTCGTCACAGTCTCTCTGGTCGGCTTTCTTAGATCTTCCAGTCTCCTCCCTTGCCTTTCTCAGGGACATTACTGCCCCTTGTTCCATCAAGTCTACTCTGGGGAATGAACAGAATGTTTCCTCTCTTTAGTCGGCCCCGACAAGATCCTAGTCGACAATCCAAGGGAGGGCGACCTTGACGTTGATGGATCCTTAGAAATGTAGGGCGATCTTGGTCGACGATCGCCGGTGACTGTACCCCAATAGAGCGAGTGCCTCCCGGAGCCGTGCCCCCTTTCGGTCTATCCGCAATAGTCCGCCTCCGTCGTTCGCATTGTGTTCTTACTGCCATCAACTTCCTTTACCATGCAATTGTTTGAACGTCGTCTTCTCATGGCTCTTTCTGGCAATGATTGCCTTTTATTCTCATCTTAATTGTCTCCATCGGGCGGTGTCTCGAGTGGCCTGTCTCTGCTGTGCAGGGCAATACGCAGTTGACCAGGCCCACGCCATCCAAGATAGGGAAGGAGTCGACTTGTCTCTCGCGAAGCATGCCTTCCGTTGAACACAAAACCGAGCCATGCCAATCCCTGAATAACTACGAAGACGAGTTGAGCGGCTAGCACAATGGACAATCAATATGCCTCCCTTTGTTTACTTTTTGGCAGTTTGCACCTTTCAAGACCGTTCCAGGCTATTCTTGGTCCAAGAAGTACGTCAAGGTTCAGAAACTAGCATTGGCAAAAGGAAATAGAGGGGGTGCATCCTACGACATGGAAACTCTGTATGCAGCAGCATCGTAAGGCAGGCTCAAAAGGAGGCACGCCGGCGTGGGAGAGACACAGGCCCTACATACCCCATACTATTTTGAGCACGGGATGGCCAAGGAGCTAAACACCACCAGGAATGGCCCTTGGATATGGTGAAAAGGCAGGTAGACTAGCATTTCTCTTCCCTGAGACATAAATAAGATATGTTTTCAGATGCGAGAGAATACGTGAATAGAAAAAGAAACTAGGCGTATGTTACACAATACAACGAGAGAAACAAAAGTCAGTTGCAGTTCGTTAACGACAGCCCATCGTTGTAGATGTGATTGCAGAAAACACAAGTGTAATACCAGTATGAAAGGTTTCCACCGCGACGGCTTTATTATGGCTCCCTTATACTTGTCACCAAAAGAAATGGTCTTTAAGTTTGATGGAAATACAATCCGAACTGAAGGTGCCATATGGAATTACCATGTCTAGTATTTCAATTCTTTAGACAATCGCATTGTGAAATCAACGTGCCCATACGACGGCTTCCGGAAGAACCACGTCACGGTCCTGTTCTCGTCTTATTATTCTCTCCAGATTGGGAGCAACCGAATTTTGGCCGTATTTAGGCATATCTTGCCCATTGTCTCGGGATGCAGCTCAAAAAATCATGTAGCAGAGCTTGGCACTCTGAATTGCACAGTCGCCCTATTTCGAGCGTTACGCTTATATGTCACTGAGGGAGACGCAGTCAACATCATGGTTCTTATTGCAGCCGAAAAGGGGATTCTTTCTCATTCTCCCTACATAGGACGTCCATCACAGCCTATGCAGCCCCAAGTGCCGCCAGCCCTCCCTGGCCGGCCTGGATCCATTCTCTTTTCAGTGAAACGACGACGACCTAGCACAGTTGAACAAGCCATGCACCGTAACGTGAAAGACAGCCAACTCAATTCACAACATCACCTAAGGCACGAAGGGATGGACGTCTCGGATCGCTCAAGTTCCGTGTTTCTCAAGTCATCCTCCACGACACAGCACTTCTGTTTTCGGATGGCACACCTAGATAAACGACACTGAAGGATTCCTTTTCTGAAAACAATACGTAAACAAAGACCTCGCACCCCCTCCCCCATCAACAGGGAGCATCTTTTGCCGGGGAAAGGCTTGGCGAGCCGCCACGCCAGTCCTTATGTGGTCGGTTTCCATTTGGAGCTAGGGGCAAGCGGAAGCTTCTGACAGCGGCTGAAAAGTACTCAAAAGCCACCGAAAATACGAAATGCTATTGAAAGCGATGGGAGGCCGCTACATGTGAAATCTGAAGAAAGGGAGTGCTCAGAGTCGAACATCTAGATCAAGTGGCCAGCCAAGCCATATATATGGAGTGCATCGTTAGACATACACAGGCACTACCGATTAACTGCCCCCTTAGGTCTCATCTAAACGCCATCTGAGGCGCATCCGAGATATTAAGAGCCGCGACTCTGTACAGGGACATGCATGCATTGGATTCAGGAGTGGCTGCAACGCTGCAGCATGTCAGTGTTTGGGTTCGTCGTGCCATCGGCTTCGTAGTTATCTGTTGCTGGTCAACCTGTCTGTGTTTTTCTACTTCGATGACTTACAATACATTTCCTCGCCTATGCGGGCGAATGCAAAAGGGGTATGAGATGAGACAGAGACGGGGACAAGGCGAAAGAGTGCACAGAAAAAGAAACACCAGGCACCGAATGAGTCCATCTCTGCCTCTTGCTTTCACCGGTGAAAGCAAATGGGGCAATTCAATGTTCTGGCTGCGCTGCGGTGCATTCTCCGTGGCGGCAAGTGGCAGATGCATCGTTCAGACCGTATGACTGAATTTACCACCTTGCTTCACCTGACTTTGCCGCCTTCCTTGGCTTTGTTTCCTTTTTTGGTGGCGCTTGTCAAAGTCTAGACCAACCAAATCGAAACAGAAGAGAGA